TTGAAAAAAACTATGGCATTATTTTAGTCACCTCTTTGCTATAAATGTGAAAATTGACAATAAACTTAGTTAACTTTACTCTTTACTGTCTTTATCAAATTTGATTGAAATGATCATAATGCCAATTTCCAAGATGGAATTCATCTTGGCGGAGAAAATGTTTTTTTTTTTTGTAAGATTATTATTATTATTATTATTATTATTATTATTATTATTATTATTATTATTATTATTATTATTATTATTAAGCAATGTACACGTATAGAATAGACCTGTATATAAATATTATTATTTTAATAGTAGTATTATGCTTATCTTATGTATATATTACTGTGTTTTATTTCAAAATTATATTTTATTATTAGAATGAATTACATTGTTAGTACTGTTATATAATAATATTTATAATATTTTTATTACCACTACTGATATCATTACAGTATTATCATAATATAATAATAATAATAATAATTCTGGATTTATATAGCGCCTCACGTTGACACAACCTCGAGGCGCTTAACAACAACAGAGAAGAAGAAGAATTAATTAAGTTCAAATGATTGGTTTGATGATTATCAATAAATGTTATTATTACAATGCTTTGGTAATTGGAATCATTTCAAGGCCTGTTACTTTCCTATTCATCCCAAAGCCTTTCATTTTTCTTTCCCTTTTGTTTCTTGTCTTTCTTCCTTTCCCTTCAAATGTTCCTGATCTTTACTTTTCTTGTCCTTTCTTATGTTTCCTTATCTTATCTTTCACATTCCTTTCTTAGATTCCTTATCTTTCCTTTCATTTTCTTTCTTATAATTCGTATCTTTCTTTCATATTTCATTCTTATATTTCTTATCATTTCTTTTCTTTTCCTTTCTAATGTTTCCATGTCTATCTTTCCTTTCTTTTCTCTTCTCATGTTTCCTTATCTTTCCTTTTCCTTTTTCATCCTTGGTTTATCTTTCCTTTCCTTTTGCTTTCTTATATTTCTTATCTTTCTTTCCATTTACCTTCCTATGATTCCAAATTCATTTCTTTCCTTTCCTTTCTTATGTTCCTTATCATTCTTACTGTTATCTTTCTTATGTTTCCTTATCTTTTCTTTCCTTTTTCTTTCTTATGATTCCATATCGTTTTTTCCTTTTCCTTTCTTATGTTTAACTTACCTTTCATTCAACAAAACAAAACAAGAAAGAACAATGAATTGGCAGAAGGAATTTAGAGGCAACTTTCAAAACTTTCAGTGAAGAGATGTGTTTTTAGCAGTGATTTGAGTGAGAACTGAATCAGAATTTTTAATGTGTTCTGGGAGGGCATTCCACGGTCACTCAAGTTACCACACATAGACATAATAGAGCGGGATGAAGCGCCAGTGAGATCATTTATGAGTTTAAACAGATTTAGTTGGTCGCAAGATTTGATAAGATTTGTATGATAATCTGTCTTGCATTTGTCGAGGAGAGAGCTATAATCTTTGCAAGCATCGTGAAACAGGACTTTATCTATGGTGAGTTTGGTTTTAAGCCACTACCTCTCCATTTGTCGTTTTTTGGCGTTTCTTGGCCCTAAGGTCGTCGTTATACCATTGGGCATGGGGACGGATTATGATCTTACGATCAGTGACTGACGCATTTTGGTCCAAGATGTCCCTCAATACGGCATTATATTGCTGTACAAGAGGTTTTAAGCCATCGCAAGGTTGATTTAGCAAAGACGATGACTGTATGTCATCTGCAAACCTCTCGCTGTCAATGCCCTTGATGTTTCGCTTGTAGAGATGTGCGACAACAGAAGGATGGCGATGGAGGTTGATAAGTAAGTAATAACAGAATGATCGGAGGGAAGATCAGAATGTATTTTGGTTGATTTTACGAGACAACTTGACCTACGAGAAATGAGGAGGTCAAGAGTGTGACCTTTCTTGTGAGTAGGTACGGTTATGTTCTGTTGAAGGTCAGCTGCATTAAGAAGCTCAATAAAAGCAGTGGAGTCCCGGTCATCCGTCTAATCAACATGAAAATTAAAATCACCTGCAATCAAGACTTCTGAGTTGCAAAGTGAAATTGATTCCAGCAGAGATGAAAATTCCTGAAAGAAAAGGGGAACAGACAATTTGTTTTTTTCGAGATGGAGGGGGGCCGGTAAATAAGTGTTAACCTCGTACTGGAGGATACAGCAGGACTTGAAACAGTCAGATCAAGGTAAATGACCTATAAGAAACAATATCATGTTGGTGGACTTTGTAGTTTGATTTCAAGAAGACGGAAACACATCGCATTAAACTGAAAGTGTGGAAGAGACTTTTTGATATCCGCCAAAGCAAAACAATCGCGCTCATCACCAGTAAACCAGGTCTCTGTTATGGCCATGATGTCAACCCTTTTTTCAATAACAAAGTCACAATTAAGATCATGTGTTTTTGAAAGTTAACGAGCGTGAATTCCAGAGTGCAAAGTGAGATGGAACACTGGCTAACTTTAATTTGGCACACGTAATCTCAGTGAGATTATGCATTGCAATTCCACGTGTAGGGTTTAGTTGTGGACAATGCCCTCGACGAATAAGTTTAGGTATGGTTTTATACATCATCTGTCATTATCATCCTCATCCTATTCGTCATCATTCTCATTGTTGTCTAATATCATAATCATCCTAGCTGTCATCGATCGTTGTATTCATCATCATCATCATCATCACATCATACTCATCCATCGTCATCGTCCTCATCTTCATCACGTCCTCATCAATCATCTATCGTCGTTATCATCATCCTCATAATCTTCATCCTCCTGATCCTTCATAATTTTCTTCATCATCATCATCATCCTCATCATCATATTCATCCTCAGCCAGCTATTGGTCACAGTTGGGACAGTCCCACACCATTTTCCCAATGGGTCCACAAAAAATGGGTCTACATTTTAAAAATGGGTCCAAATTATGTAATTTTATGCATAAAATGGATCCAGATTTTTTATATTTAGCTAAAAATGAGTAAAATTTAAGAAAATGGGTCCAGATATTTCATATTTTTGCGTAAAATGGGTCCACATTGTTTGAATTTACACGTAAAGTTGGTCCACTCTGATATTGTACCACACCGTTTGAAAATCCTGGTATGGCATTGATCCTCATCCATCATTGTTACCCTCATCATCATCCTCACCAATCATCGTTATCATCCTCACCATCACCTTCATCCTACTAATCAACCTCATCCATCATCATCCTTATCCTCATCATAATCAACCTCATCCTTATCCTACTTATCATCATCACTCATTCATCATCATAGTCCTCATTATCATCATCATTGTCATTATCATCCTAATCAACATTCTCATTACAATCATCATCTATCATCATCATCCATCAGCATCCTTGTCCTCATTATCATCAACCACATCATCGTCATCCTTATTAATCATCATTATCAATCATCATCCTCATCATGAGGATGATGATGAAGCTAAATATATCCATACACACACACACACACAAACACACATATGTATATATATAACGTAAAAGAAACTTGTCTAAACTGATACGTCACTTAGCCCCCACCCCCCAACATGGCGTCGTTGGCCTCACTAAAACCAGCTAATGAGCAATCCAGCTATTATAGTAGAGATCAATGTTTTGCGTATGTTTTAAAACTGTCATTTTGTTGGACCATTGCAACTATTTCAAAGGGGCAGGGCTTAGCCTGTCTCTTATACACATCTAGATGTGTATAAGAGACAGACCATAATCATAATCATCATTACCATCATCCTCATTATTATCATCATCCTCATCATCATCCTGATTACTGTCATCATCATCATCATCGTCATCATTACCATCATCATTTTCATCATTATCCTCTTCATCATCAGTCACCATCATCATCATGAGGATGATGAAGATGAGGACGACGAGAATGAAGATAAGGACAAGGGTAAGGATGAGAGGGGGATGATTCTCATCATTCGTCATCATCATCATTCTCATCAATCATTTCCTATCATTCTCATCACCATCATCACAATCATTATCATCAACAACCATTATCATCAATCATAATCACCATCATCTTCTTCCTCACCACCATCATTCTCATCATCTTTCTTCTCCTCCTCATCATCAACATCCTCCTTATAATGGGGATTATAATGAGGATGGGGATGACAATAAGGAAGATAGTATGATAATAATAATGACATCAGTATAGTAAGAATAACAGTACTAACGCTAATATTAATGTGAATTATAAACTATATCTTTTTTCAGATGTCTGAATTCCCGTCAGACAGGCCTAGACTCCCATCGTCCGATGCCACGACGAGGTCGCCACACTACAAATAATGATTTGCTTATCCATATAACATTATTTTGACTGCCAATCCCTAATATTTTGGCTTAAAAGAACAATTTTGGGCCATACTAAGCTAAAAAAAAAACTCTCCCATAAGCCCAGGGATGTTTATTCCGGGACTCTGGCCGAGGGTCTAGTCGGCCCAGTGGGAGCCTACTGCTAGTTTTGTTGATACAGGACAAATATGTTTCTTTGCTTTTGTATTTCGATGTTTTGCATTTGTAAATATTTTTTTGTGAATAGGTTTTGTGATGCAAACCATTTCAGCTTCGGCTGCCGTTTTGTAATTGTTTTTTATATGTTTATACCTAAATAAATAAATAAAAAATATGGGTAATAGAACGACAAGGAAATAGGTGTGATCAAAATTCTAAAAGAGCAAAATTTTATTCCGTTTTCCTTCCTCTATTTCTTATGTAAACCTGGATTTAAACCTTTTAAAACGTTTCTAAAATGTGTCTTAATTAGTCAATTAATTGAATAACGCTTTTGTGTCATCGGCACACCTTTTTAATGTAGCCTTACAAGACAATAATTAATTGATATAGAGAAAACGCAAAATAACAAAAATTAATAAACAATATGTTTTCTGCCTTATAAATTATAATGAACATAAACGTAATGAAAAAAAAAAAATCTGAATGGGAAAACTAGGAGGAAAAATATGTTACCAGACTTGTACTCTGTTAACTGTTTAGTAATGAGAAATATAAGACAACAACTTTATAACACAAAGGCTGGATATTTAACAGTTAATTAATCTTGAAAACCTCTAGTTACAGCTAGGCCTATGTACTAAACCTGTCTTATCTTAACCACAGTCATAACATTTGCTCTTCATAGCAGGCTTTGAAGTATCAAACTACTGTACAATCTAACAAGTCTCAGTAGGCCTACTGTAGTAGCATACGGCATACTTATATTTAACAGCACATACGTATATAAGTTAACACTTGTTTAATTTAAAGTACTGTCTTATCATCTTTAAACTATTATAACCAGTGTTTTCATCATCATTAATCTGATCGTTCCACTGTACTGTAATAGAAATCTTAATCTTAAATTATAAAGAAATTTCCTTATTAATCTATTCTGAAATACAGAATTTATCTAGAGCATTTAAGGCCTAATAAAAAAAATTATTAGTTTATCACCCTCGCGCGCATGCCTTTTTTGGTATTGAAAATTTAAAAAAACAATTTTTTTTTAAATTTTATTTATTTATTATTTTCATTTATTTTATTAAATAGTTAGTAGATATTGTTTGCATTATCTAAATCATGTTTTACTTTGAATATCAATGCACCAGCAAACAAACCAAGGGTTTATATTTGGCTTTAGCAAAATAAAAAATTTTAAAAAATAGCCTCCCTCCCTGATCACTTTCCTGCCCAGATAGGGTGATAAACTAATATTTTTTATAGGGCCAAAAACAAAGGTAATCGTATTACTTCTTAATATAACTGAAGATAAATACAAAATACTTGAACATACCTGTTAAAAATGAGAAAGATAAGCCAACAAAATCAGATTTAAATAATCAGGCCCACGGACCAATTTTATCCAAGGGGGACCGGTTTTGCGGCTAAAATCGAACCGTTGGGTATGGAAAGCCGAGTCCGCCAAAAATACCAAACACAATCCATTCAACAACAATTCAAACGCACCAAATTCAAACCGATCAGTCATAAATTACATATATTATTCACGTCTTTCAGTTAAATCAACTATATTACATTATGCATAATGGGAGTATTTTGGGGGAGGGGGTGGCCTGTGAAAGCGGGTGCAGTCAATCTATGGTTTGACCTAGACAAAATTGCAACATAAAACTTGCAACATAGAAGTTGTATGAATTATAGTAATGTGAAAACTCGACGTTTGAAAAATAGCTGAATGAACTGATTTATCACTGCATGGTTCGGTGTTTACAGTAGTTGAACGAAAAACAACTGAATGAATTGGATTCACCCTCAATGGTTAGGCAAACGAGTAAACGAAATGTTTTTTGTGTTGGATGATGTTAATGTTGCCTTAACTGAAAGACGTGAATAATAAATGTTTGACTTGTCGTCGAATTAAGTAATTTATGACTGATCGGTTTCAGTATTCATTAGACGGTTTGAGTTTATATTAGATTGTCTTGAATATTGTGGTTTGCTTTAATGGTAGATGGTAACACCTTGAATGTGATGGTGCGAGTATTACCTGAATGGTGTGACTTCCTATTGAAACATTTGGAATATGTTAAATGGTTTGAATTTAGTGAGTTTGAATTGTTGTTAAATGGATTGTGTTTGGTATTGTTGGCGGACTCAGCTTTCCATAGTTGGACCGATTTTAGCGGCCAAACCAAAAGTAGTCCAGCGGACCCGATTCTTGCTGCCAAAATCTGCCCGTCGGATGTTTTTTGGCCAAGACAATTTTTGGCGTGACAGGTGAGGCCTACGTTATAGGCGTAGTAGCGGTGCTCTGTATTCATTCGCCGACTGTGTAGTAGATTTTGAATATAGGCCTACTGTGCCAAGGCCAGACACATCAGATTCTGGTCAGGGTCCGGGGCAAGGCCCAGGGTGCAATGGGCATTTTTTAAAGATGTTCTAAGGCGTTTTAATGCCTGAAGATTTTCTTTTGGTACGACGAGTCTTGGTCGACTTGGGGGTTGGCCTTGACGAGTGTTACCTGCTGGCACCACAGCAGGCCTACACTTAACTTAGGCCTACAACCAGATAAATTTATTTAATAAACCTGAATAATAAGAACAATTATTATAAGAATGATAATTTTCATTTGATTTAAAAAATATTTTCATTATAATTATAATGATAATGATAAAAAAAAAAAAAAATAATAATAATAATAATAATAGTAATGATAATAATATTGATGATGAAATATTAACGATAATAACAATAGTAATAATTTTATCATGCCTATTTTGTATTTTATTATTATTATGTTATCTATCTAACCACCTTTCTTCTAGTGTGATTCTCAGATACAGCCGAGCCATGCAGTGTTGTCAGCAATCGTGGTGTTTTCTTCTAATCATGATATTCTTCAGCCTTTACTTGGTAAGCACAGCCAAATAATAATGATGGACCTTTCCGCAGTGCCAATCAAACTTAACAACTGACCAATCAGAACAGTACTAGGAATACCCACCGTTTTTGAGACCTTAGCAACATTATCCAAGGGGCAGGGCTTAGCAAAAATGTTCATACAAGATACAAGATACAAGATAAAATTTATTGTCTCCATTAAAAAGAAAACGAAGAAATTACAAAAGCTCGCACCCATTAAAATTACATTAAAATCACATTAAAATCACATAAAAATTTAACAAAGTACATCAAAACCCATAAAAAATAAAAATAAACAACATTTAACAAGGAGAAACTACTCAAGAGACAAAGAGTTATAACAACAATAACAACAACAATCGCTATTTTCATTAAATTGATTTAATTTTATTTTATTATTGCAATTATCATTATTATTATGATTATATTTATCATTATTATTGTTGTTATATTTGTCATGGTTATTTCAAAGGCATATATTATTATTGTTTATTATATACATATATATACATATATATATATACATACACATATACACACACACATATACACATATATATACATATACATACATATATCATGCATATATACACACATATACACATACATGCATACTACATATATATACATATATACATACATACACACA